GAGCAAAACCCCCCCCTGTTTTTTTTTGTTTTTTTTTTTTTTTTTTTTTTTGAAAAAAAAAAAAAAAAAAAAAAAAAAAAAAAAAAAAAAAAAAAAAAATCTTTTACTTAACCTTAAGCAACAATATTTAACCTCACTTTGGACCATAAAGAGAATAAGGTGGCCATATCCTCCAATAACTGACTGATGTAAGATGAGTTGTAGTCAAAGTTGCAAAGTTCTCATTTTCAGCTGTTTCTTCCATGTACAGCCCATTTCAAGCCACTCAACAGCATTTCAGTAAGTTTAAGATCTGAGCTTTTTCTTAACGCTCAGCAAGTTACTGTATTCATTTACTAGTTTTATTGGGCCATTCTCATATATTAAACTCCAAATTTCTTTTCACTGTTTTTATAGATGATCTGACATTTTCCTCCCCGCTATAGGATTCTTAGTGGATTCTGTGGTGGTGAGCTACTCAAGTCCTACTGCAGAAAAACAAGTTGATTTTTCTGGAATGCAAAATAATTCAATTTTAGACTTGTCTGTTGTAGCAATCACAGGATGGGCCTTGAAGCCGTAAACAATTCACGTGTCGGTTTATGACTGTGATCATAGCCGTGGTTCGTAACGTAAAGGAAGTAGCCCACAGCTGATTTTCTGAACCTGAGCCCTCAAGTGACATTAGTAACTTGGACACAAGTCGCATTGTGTAATAATTGATATGGGTTATTAGTTTAAACATTACTGCAGTTATTGTGAAAAAAAAAGAAGGAAGATGTTATGAGCTGATTAATTATGTCTGTTTCTTAGTAATCTGAATATTGCTGCCACTTACCTCAGTGATCCAGGCTGAGCGTCAAACAAGTGAGGCTGATCAGTTTCGTCTTGGTTCGGTTGTTCACGCCTGTGGGGTCCAAATTAATCCCACCTCCAAATTTAAATAACAGTAAAAATATACGTCTTTATTATCTCTCCCTCAGTCGTCCCTCCCCTTAATAATCTGCCTTGCTTCAGGAATAATTTGTGTTACCATGTCATTTAGAAACATATATTCCAATGTACTTATCCTTGCTTATGAAGTCAATGGGATTTCATTTTAAATTAAGAAGTTATTAGGGTATCAATATTGTATTTTTGCAGATAATTAAATAGAGCATGTATGAAAAGTTGTGGGTTCAGTTCTTTATTTTTAGAGCGAGATTCTAATTATGTTTGCACTTCAAAATCAGACAAAAACTGTGAAGCGCCCAAATAAACTCAAGAGTTTCTTTACTCTGAGGCAAACTGCGCAGTAAAATGTCGTTTTTCATCTGGAAAGGGCCATATGTAGCAAAGAATCTTGTTATTAATGCTCTGCTGTTGGAGGAGTTTGAGTTAGAGGTTGTTAGAGTCACCTTTAGCATCTCAACATCATCGGCATCGGAAAGATAGAAATAAAGGTCCAAATGTAGAACCATTTACAGCGGCGCATGTCCTGAATCGCAGGACGAGTCCTGGCAAAGTGGCCTGACCAAACAGATTAATAACCGAGTCGTTTGAAGATTAAAATAAATAAAATTGCCCCAAGCCTGCCTTTCTGCACTAAAAAAGAAATAAATACAGTTTTATATCCTAACACTAAAAAAAAGTGTTCCTACTGAAAAAGTTCCCAAGCTGAAAAAGTTGGCAAACGTCAGCAGGAGTCACTTTTTTTTATTCAGAAAATAGGTATATTTTCATAAACGTGCAAATTTTCATAATTAAATTAAATTAAAAGAAGAAACTCTTTACTCTTACTAATTGTTGTCTTTTGGACTTGCTTTGTATCTAGAAGTCGTTTTCAAAAACCGTGACGCCAACTAAGAGGTGAAAACTCTGACAACTAAAGAGTGATTACATCATCAGTGACAGATTTATGCAGTTTACCTTTTGGGAACTAATATATGAAACCTAATAGTTAAAATGTGAAAGTGAAAAGACATTAGTCCACAAAAGGCAAATGAAACGACAGTAGCTTTTATTTTTACAGTATAAGCCTTTATTTGTAAAAAGTTGGTTGTTTGAATGATAACCCTTTTTATACCACATACTTGAACACTTTGTATTTGTAAAAAACACATTTTGTTCAAACACCTAAAAAAGCTGATTGACACCATAACATTAAATTGCACTGACAGAAAAAAATACAACTTCATACCACACAAATGTTGATTCCATGAGTACTGTTTACCCCAAATGAAATCAAACACCGTATTAAACAAATGAATCAAAAAAGCGCCCAATGTGAACAAAACAATTACAGTACGTAAAAACCAAATGCATTTTTTTTGTTTGTTTTCAAAAACTTCCAGTGCCGTATTGTATATCGGATGAATTACATTTCCTTCTCATGAAAGTAAAACAACTACAACAGTAAGAATAACAATCCATAACAAATGCTACAAATACGATAAATCAGAAATGAACACAGCAATTAAATAAATGGTTTACTAATTCTTACTGAAAAAGAAACAAGGTGTTGATCTTGTGGGCTTCTTTCTTTTCATTGCCAAATAATTGCAACTGCTGAAAAAGCTTCTATTTTTTATTTCTTTCTTTTATTTTTTTTTTACCTACTGGTTAAATATGAGACAGTCTTTCAGGAAGGGTCTTAAAAAGAGGGAGGTACAGTATATTGACATGTGGGAAACTGGGAATCGGCACAGTGTCTTGCAAGTCACCCTCATACAGTAATCGACAGCAGGCCGTAACCAGAGGCAACTTATCAAAGAGGAAATACAGGGAACACCCACTCAGTGTGCAATCACATGGCTTATATGTTAAGATGCTGCAGGAGAGCACCCTCTACATCCTTTGTAGTTGAAGGGCGTTTGATGGGATGCTTAAGCTGAATCGGATAAAACTCTAGCATGCACTTGGTGCATCTATCTCAAACTGATTTACAATATTTTTTTTGTAGAAGTGCACAACTGTGATTCATCAAATAAAAAAAAAGAAGAAGAAGACGAAATCACATAATGTGCGCTCTACTGTGATGTTTGTCCTTCAGCTTTATGAACAGTTTGTTCCACAAGATTTATAGAGCTGGCTGTAAAACAAGTGCAATTTGAGCATGTAAACACTGAATCAAACATTTTTTATTTTTATTTTTTACTTCCTGGCTGTGGATATGAATCGGATGGTGTAGAGTAAAAATATACGAAAATAAACCCTTTTTTTTTTTAAACTCAGGTCATGCAAAACAAAACCTTCAAAGTGAGGACAAAATAATGAATCCACCAGCGACAATTCGTCCGACAGTATGGAGCCTCCTAATTTTGTTCTGGTGATTTGACGGATGTAATATGGTGTTAGCGCACTTCAGGTAAGTGAAAAGGCGTTTTCCAGCTGTCCATATTGGGATTTATGTGCTGTTACAGAAGAAAGGGACACTTCTTCATTTATTTCTCCAGGCTACAGTTTGCTAACCATGATCTAAATTAGCTAAAGTGTTTGCTACAGTCCAGCACAGATTTGCTAGCCTTGCTCTCGGATAGCTAAAGATGTTTGCTACAATACACCACAGACTCCAACCATTTGCACTTGGGCAATTAGTAAAGTGCCTTGCTCAGGGGCACTACAGATTTTCTTGGTGAGGAACAGGAAAAAAACAAAACAAAAAACATCCCACTCGCCCTCTTAAGGCAACCCTGCTCCTCTAGCCATAGCAAGCTAGCTAGCTGATCATATTTTTTTGGGAGAACTTGTGGACTAAGTGGTTTGTGAATGGCTGAGGTAAGTGCAGTGGGTAGAATATGCTGAAATCTCCTGAAAGGCTTCCGGTCACATTAAACGGACAAACGCAAAAAGCCTAAATCGCCAGAACATCACTTTCCCACTAGCTGAACGCACGCTTTTAGCGCTAGCGTTCCCTTTGAACCGCCAGAAACTCCATCACCGCGAGAGAACTTTGTCATGGTTTCTCCATTATTTTGTTCACACCATGTGTTCCTTTATGTTTTCAGATTTTTTTTGTTTCTTTTTTGTTAAGGTTTCGTTTGCAGAAGTATGCCAATGCTAGAAAAGCTGTCCATGCCATTAGCAGTGAGGCTAGCTGGTATTAAGAACTGCCATGTTTTTGTTCATGCATTAAGAACTATTAAGTGAAAGATATTATATTTACAGTACAATTCACATGTAATTACACATATACACTAGAGGCAAGAGAATTCACATTGAAATCAGTTCAACACTTTTTTCCCCCTCCTCCTTCTCTACTTATTGAACTTAAGTGTTCAAAGGAAAAGAAAAAAGAAACTCTCTAGATAAGCAAGAAAAAGTTTCAGAACAGAATGTCCTCACAGGCTTTGGGATGGAGGTGCTAATTTCATGTCCAGAAAGCTGGTAGTACATGTGGTGTTTGAAATGAACAGTGAATATATTTACTGTGAGAATGTTTTTTTTTTGTTGTTGTTTTTTCTCCCCTCCATATGCGTTTAGTGTACTATCTAAACAGTACAATACCTGAACAGGCTTTCATTTCTGGGAATAACACCAACCTGAATAAGAGTTTAATACTTGAGTCAGTTTACATTAGAAAAAACGCAGACTGCGAGTGCATCTCACTGAGACCACAGAGCAGGCAGTTAAACACAGAAACATCTGCCTGGTTTGCAGTGGAGCAAACAAAATCCTCTGGCCACATAGTCTGAATCCAAGTGTAATTTCATAAAGATCCATCATATTTCAATTTAAACAATTTAACAATGAAATATGCAAACAAAACAAAACAGTTGACATTGTTACTACTGTAACAAAAATGTACCCATCTGAAACACCCCTAAGTCAAAATTACTACCCCACATCTAACAATTTATAAAGTGTACCAATTATGACGCGATCAACACTGTGGCAACGCGCAGTCACTTTCCACTCGTTGATCTGATTGCAACGAATAGCTGGCTAAAAGAGAGCCACGTCTAGTCGTGACGCCGGCTGAGCGTCTCCCCTTAAGACAACTTCTGTAAGGCAGAAGTTAAGAATTGCAGCATACATGTCACAGGGACGTCAGCAATGAGTTAAAGGGGAACAGCAACACTGGCGTGAGCTTACAGGTGTCGGGGGCTTCTACTGCATATGTGGGAAGAGGCCGAGTAAAGCTTTTACGCCCCCAAGCGATCTCAGCGGGTCGGGTTTTTACTGCTGGGGGAGGGGGGGGCAAAGATTTACCAGGCGAGAGGAATGAAGGGAATAATAAATAAACGACGGCTCTGGTTTGTTGTGGCCGTAAACGTCTCTGTGAGAAGTTTACGGCTAAGCGCGGGATATTAGATTGTTGTGTAAAATCAGTAAAGTGCTCGCAAACCTCACGTTGGGCTAAAACAGTCTGTTTTCGAGTTCATTTAATTTCAGCAGGACACATTTGGATCTAACCTTCAGTCTTTGAGTGTTTCCCGTCTATTGCTTGGAGAAGGCATTTTATCATTTTTTTTTTGTTTTATCTTGCCACCCGTTTTTTTTTATTTTGACTTAAATTTCCTAATTGCAGACACAAAAGTGGAGATTTCAAGAATTAAAGATGCTGCTTGAAAATATGTCATTGCTGTATAAAATTCATCCCAAAACCCCCCCCAAAATCCCCCAACTAAAAGTCATATTGCACCACTGGTCACAGCACTGCACAAACTTCACTATTACTTAGGTAGACACATTGGTTTCTGATCAGTTTTCCTTTTTGAAGGAATCTTTTGGATACCCAGCGCTCCAGAGAAGAAAGCAGATATCCGATGATAAATCGATGTTTGCAGCTCTTCCATCGTTATGTTGCTCTCCCAGGGAGGAATTCATCTAGTTCTTCATGTACAACTGCAATTTCTTTCTGTTTAGCTTTTCAACCGAAGTAAGTGACATGTGAAAAAAGTGTCGTTTTGTAAAAATATTAATAAGAAATGTCTTACAGTAAAGTCTGATTTGGCACACGATAATATCCTGCAGTAATTCTTGAGTCAGCAGCAGCGTCAGTTCACCCTTTCACCAACTGAAACCTCCGTTTTGTCCCGTCTTCCCTAAACTTTGTACCACTAATCTCGAACCTTGGCATCGTCTGTTGTCTTTTTATTGTAGCTGCAATTATTTATGCCCCTGGCAGAATGACATTTAAGGTAATAGTTTTATTTTATTTTTTTCTGACTAGAAGTAGCTTAAATGTTTCATAAGGGCTCAGATTTTTTTTCTTACTGATCATGCAGAAGGGTATGAATAATATACAGGTGGGGAGAAAAAGCCAGGTTTCATAGATCTGATGTTTGAGAACCTGGCTACGGTTATAATCTTTGACAGCTCGTGGCCACAAATACTCTACGTTATCTCCTTTTCTATCACACTCTTAATAGTCCATGAGTAAAATACAGACAGTTATTGTAAGTTGCTAAAGTGGGTGTGACAGATCCCGCTGGAAAGGGTGAACTGATGCACACTTGGTAGGAGACATTCTGAACGGCGATGTTTCATAATCGAAAATCTTGGATACTGAAAAACCAAAACTGCAGAGGTCGGAAATGGCGAAAGGGGGAACATAACCAGCACCCCTCCCCGACGGTACATCAGCGCTAGAAATGCGACGTGTGTGTATTCCAGGGGAATGCATGAAATACAGGCCTTTTGGTCATCATTTCATTCAATTCATGGCTATTTTTCTGAAACAGTAAATCCCTCCTGATCTTGTAGCAGCAGTTCTGGGGCATGCTGTCGAAAAAGGCTACAATGACGAAACCCCCTCCTACGTGCGCCTCTTTCCCGGTACAATCCGAATCCAAAATATTCTTCCCTTCACACACTGACTGGGAAAACCAAAAAAGAGGCTGAGCAAACAAAGATATGCCGTGTTCTGAATGAGGATTTGGTGGATCTTTTTGAATGTACATGATCTCACATCTTCACCTAGAAATAATTTCACACAAACAACAAAGGTGACCCATCCCGTTCCCCTTCCTGCTCCTGCGTAGCAAACACAAAGCAGGATCCTATGTCAATAAACTCTGCATCTAAAGAAAACGCGAGTTAATCATTAGGAAGAAAGAAGGAAAAAAAAAACACAAGCATACCTTTGTGAGAATACTGAATGATTTAAATGTACAGAATATCTTTTTCCCCCAAACGATCAGACCCAGCAATGCACGCCTCTTACTCTTTTATCTCATAATGCCCAACCCCTAAAACATGGTCTGACTCTCTGAAATCACAGTTTTTGTTAAGATGAAATCATATCTACAATAAGCAGTGTGTGTTTGTTTTTTTTTTTACCTAGAATGAAAAAGAAAATTTAAAAATCCCCACCTCTTTCTCCACCGGTATCCTCAACCACGATCCCACCCACATCCCACCACTCCGAGGATGTATTTCTAATAAAATAGAAAAAAAAAATAAATAAATAAATAAATAAAACAAACAAAAGAGAATGAAAAAGTAATACAAGTTGACTCTGGGTGGAAATGCAGCAGTCAGACATCCTATCCGTACGCCAACTGAATGGAGACCATTTGGCCGGAGCTGATGTCTCATAAGGTGAACAATATTCACTCTAGAAACAAAACAAAAAAAAAAGCCAAAGAACAACACATAATCCAAACAAAGTTGCTGTACATAGTAGAAACGGAGCGGTTTCCGTGCATGTCGTCCTCCTGTGGGGTAACGGCAGAGGGGGGGGGCAAAGGTGGCGTCAAGGACCTCAGTGAGTCGATGCCCGGACGCGCGAGCCACCGCTGATTTCTCGAGCTGCAGAAGAGGATTTCTGAGTACGATAAGTATCAATAAAAAGTCAATGGGACTCCGAGACATCTTCTCTCTCAAGAGCTTTCACTTCCCCTTCTTTCTGTTTGCTATTTTTTCACTTTTCTTTTTGTTTTGTTTTGTGTTTTTTTTTTTTTAGCAAAAATATCATGCAGTCTTTAGTTCTGAAAAACCCCTGGTGGGGAGGATCTCATGTTTGTTTCAGGAGGAAAAAAACAACAACAACAAAAAAAGCGTTGAAATTCTTCTCGCACAAGTATTCTTAAACATTCAAGTCATCCTAGTAATACTTTGTACAGCAGAAAGGTTCTTCGGATTTCACATGTGTATATATAAATATAATATATGGAAATATGCATATACATATGTTCAACTTGTATATGTGTATACATATTTTGGAACTGTATCGAAGCCAATTTAATGTGCTCTCAAAATATGGCCCATGATTCCTAGTGGGATGCGCATCAATTCACATAGTACAACCAGTAGATTAGGTTGAAAAATCCAAAGGTGATGGGGAAAATGACCCGGGACCACTTGTCGATGGTGCTAACATCGGACAGGTTGGGGATTTTCAACTTGAGCTTGGAGGAGCGTCGCCGTAGCCGACAGTTGGCGCGGCTCCGCATGGCGCTCCGGTCCAGCGAGTGGTGGCCGTAGCCATCCCGGGGCACCATGGGCTTCCTAAACTGGACGCCGGAGCTGTCGAAGGACATGACGGAATTCCGAGAGTCACTGACGCTGCTCCCCACGTCGGAAGGCATCACCTCGTTGTTCATGTCCAGCGTGGTGAGGAGGATGTTCCCGTAAGCGTCCACCTGCGGGGGGGAGACCGGAAAAGACGCCCAAAATCAGAGAGGGGTGGGGAAAAATGCTGAGTAGCATTCCCCAACAATCCCCTTAGACATCTAACATGGTATTCTAAAATAAAAACTCCCCTCCCGCCCTTTTAGCTGTCAAGCTTAAGCAAAATGCAGGGATGATATGGGATGTATTTTTCTCGCATGCAACAGAAATAGTTAGCTTCTTCATATAGACATTTAGTGTTTGATTCTTTTCACTTGCAAGACAAAGACAAGTCATCTGAGAAATGCTGACAAGACGACTCTAAATGGCATGGGCTGGCCTACAGCTGATAGGATTGCTAAATGCATGTACCCCAACTTTTCTTTGTTCCTCGAGATACAGATTTCTTCGCTGTGTAAATGACCTGAAGGTGTTGGTTTGAAACGGCACGGAAATGGAGTCCTTGCAATGCGAAAGGAAAAAAAAAATGGAAAGAACATTAAAACGACTGAAATACAGGCAGATATATAGTCATAGTTTCTCAGAAATTGCACAACGTGTAACACAGAGATCAACAGGAAGAACTTTTCTGAAATTCTGAAAAGGCATTTTCTCCCCCCCCCCATTTGTTCATAAAAAGTCTTTAAATACAAGGTAGCAGAGTGAGAGTGAATAAAGCCTACAGGATCAACATAGACAACAATCTAAATAAGAAATGAGAACGTTTACACCACCGTTGAGTTAGATGAATAGCTATCTCAACGAGAAAGTTTGTGCTCGATAAAAAGCAGTCGGTGCTTGAGGGAGAAGCGATGGATGATGGTGGGTGAATGCGTATTAGGCTGTGGTGACATCGGTATGCATGTGGAGAGGATTGCTTCGGGGTCTTGCATACTGTACGAGTGGCTTCACGTGACACGACTACGGTCAGAAATCTTTTCGCGCCAAACAGTCTTGTCTCCTACTCGAACTCTGACCGACGCGGAAGAGGTAAGGGAATAAGGCGAAGAAGGAAGATGCAAACCTGTTCCCTCAGGCGCTTCTCTTCGTATCTCGTACGCTCGTTGTTGACTTTGCCCAGCCTCTCATTGATTTTCTTCTGTTGCGCAGGGCCCCGGCCAAAGAACACGTAATTTACAAAGGCATATTCAAGCAGGGCCAGGAACACAAACACAAAACAGCCCATGAGGTAGACGTCGATGGCTTTCACGTAAGGAATCTTTGGGAGGGTCTCCCTAAGGTGGGTGTTAATCGTGGTCATGGTAAGCACCGTTGTCACACCTTGTGTCACACAGAGAGAGAGAGAGAAGCCGAGGAATCTTTGTTAGACACAGATCTCAGAGTTTGTTGTCCTGTGCTTTTAAATATTTCTCTAAATGGACCCATTCTGTCCAGGGAAGGTCTAATGACATTTTTAACAAAAATGTTCCCAAATTATTAAGACCCCACTTCAGAAAGCATAAAAATTAAAACAACAGTAATGACAAAAATAAAAATTACACTATATAGACAACATGCAAATACAATAATATCCTAAAAAGAATCAGGAAAAAGCCTTCATTCTTTACTTTTTCATCTGCTTTTTAAATTAGTTTTTTTAATTAGACTAATGCTGTCGATTGACTGTAAAATGACATCAAATGAATCACAATTAATCGCTGTGCTTAACGTTGTAAGCTTGAATCGTAAAAATGAACGTTTTTAAAGAATGCTTCAGAAAACGATTTATTGTCTCAAACGGTTTTCCAGGATTTCATACTTATGAAGGTTTAAAGGAAGTCTTTTTTTTCCCAAACATAATTTAGAGATGGTAACTATAAACTAGCTGTGCTTCAGTGGAAGGATAAGCCACCGTTGCAATAAGTAAACTACTTACTGCCCTGGTTTTATCCTAATGTCTCTAGTAGTGTTTTTTTTTCTTTCTTTAAGGATGTTTTTTTTAGCACTAGTGGACTTTATTTGACAGTAATCTGACAAATAACATGCACCTATAATATTTACTTTAGTTCTAGGAAAGGGAAGAGGCTGCAATATGTAGCTCTGTATTGTTTTGCATTGCCAGGATCAGCAATAAACAGAACAATAAAAGAGGCAAGAGTCTTCCAAGCTTTTCCTTCTGACAAATGACAAATTAAAATTTTTAGCAGTTTTTAATATTAAAAGTGGCAACTGGAGACACCGTTATACATTTAGACAATTAGACATGAAATCGCTAATAGTAGCCTCACTGGGTGTAGTCCCTTTCAGGGTTAATAATCAGCCCACATTATGTACAATATTAGTGTGGATTGCACTGTATCCCTGCTGTTCCTATTTTCTTTTTTTTACCCCCACAACACCAGCCAATTTGTGGCAACATCAAACAGAGGCAGGGGAAATTCAAAATGAGAAACATGGCAAAATGAAATTAACAGGAGTCGCTCGTAACCCGCGGCTACATGTTTGCTTCCTTATTCCATGTCCATAAATGTGGAAGATTTGTGCAGGAACATTTACACATGTGTGACAGCTGTGTGTTATTTGCTTCTGTGATAATTAGCGGATTCTTACGGGAGCAGTAAGAAGTTTAATAACGTAGCGGTGGCTGTGTCTTACCGAGGGCCACGCGAGCTGCAGAGGCATCATAATTGATCCAGAAGGAGACCCAGGAGAGGATGGTGATCAAGATGGAGGGCATATACGTCTGCAAGATGAAATAGCCTATGTTCCTCTTAATCCTGAAACTCAATGAGAGCCTTGGATATGAACCTGTGTGGAAATAGAATGGAGTGAAGTCAAGGGCAAGAGGAAAACAAAAAGTAAAATCAGAGAAAGCCAAAGGAAGGAGTAGGGGGGAAAACGTCGACACAAGTCAAGAGTTCCAAAGTCTGCACTTTGACAATGCACGGGGTAGTCATTTCTCCATTTGTTCAGATGGAGCACTTAATTTCCCCAAAGCGATAGATTCCTTTCCAGGGACAAGTTCGATTCCAATTAAACATGGCAGAAAGTCGCAAACACGGCACATTTTTCTGCAAGCCCCTATCTCAGCAGGCAGCTTCAGCGTCCCTGTGAGAATTGTCTCAGCGAGCTGCTTCTGCTTTTCTTTTTTTTTTTTGCACTTTCTCTGTCCTCTAAATATTACCAAATGAGCATTTTAAAATTGGACGATTGGTGCTCACGCCTTTACACTGGAACAATATGGGGTATATACACAGTGAGTGAATCTGAGGAAACTCTGCAGTGAAACCAACAATCCTTGTGCCAATTAAAAGCCCGGAGTTTTAAGTCGTGCAATGCTAGTGCTGCCAGAACTCACTGTGTTGTATACTGTACCTATAAAACAGTTGTTTATGGACTGCTTCACTGCCATTTTAGAGGTACTCGGACAGTAAGTCAAATAATATCTTACCTGTAGTAAACCTGACCTCCCTAGACACCAGGCGGACGTCCACAATGGAGAACTGAGGTAATTCCAACTCTTTAACCCCGGTCACAGCTTTGTCATCTCCTTCCCAAAAGAATACGATGTCATCTGTTGTATATCCGTCTGTGTCATGAGCAGATTAGAGGAGAAAGAAGATGGGGGACATTACTGTTTGATGAAGACGCAGCAGAGCCTCTATTGGCTGGCATAACTCACTACCTTGATTGCATCAGACATTGGTACAACACCGGTTCCTTTATGGTTACGGTTTTCTGGTCTTAGCACTGGTGGTTTTGTACATCACTGTAGGTTCATCAAAGAACTTCAACAGGGCAAAACTTTATAAAAGTGACGGTAAGTTTAAGGATTACAGTGGGATTCCAGTCAGTTTGAGATACAGACTGGAATCCCACGCACTTCCAAGGCGGGGCAGTTTATCAGCACTCCGGATAACCATGTCTTCATCAACACCATCTCTCTTAAATTGCCTTAGACTGTCTTAATCCATTGTTGCCAATATTATGCTAATGGTGTCACTCTAATTTGATCTGAATGCTATTATATGCAGATGATATGTTCCTGTTTACCATATCCAAAGTGATATTCAGAAGGCTTTAGAGTAGTCAGCACTTTGAAGATGTCCTGCTGTCATGTCAGAGGATGAAAGCAAGTATATCAGGGTCAAGATAAAAAACAGATGGGGCAACTACTTTGCTGTGTGGCAGTTGTGTCAGTCTCTCGTAGTAATAAAAGGTCACCCTTTTCATCTACAGTCCAACATTCATCTTTGGTTATAAACTTTGTATAACAAGCAAGCTTCCTCTTAAGAGGTTCTGGCTTGCCCTCGGGAACAGGGTTTTATGGCTATTTAAGAAAAACTCAGGGTACAGTCGCCATTCCTACACATCAACAGACATGAGTGGAGATGGTCTGTTCCAGTGCCTCTCTATGGACGTTCTTTGGCCATATGCCACATGGAGCAGACCCCCAGGACAGAGCCAGGACTTGGTTAAGTGTATTTCATGACTGGCTTGGCAATGCCTCGGAGTCTTTTCAGCTAATCTGGAAGAGGCAGCTGGCAAGTAAGTCTGCGTGTGACTACTTTAGCTGTTTCACCTCTGACCCAGCTCCATGCAAGTGAAACACGATGGAGTTGTACAAAAATATGCTAGGCCAGTTTCTAAAAAGATTGGAGTAGAGTTATTGCTTCATCAATACCATATGTTTAATAATGTCTAAACATTATGTCAAGTCACTATCAGAGTAATTGTCGTGTATTTTATTTTTTTTTGTGTAAAATGTTTATAGTTGCCAGAAAGCTGGCTTTAGGGGAAATACAGACCATCCGACACAAACACGTTTCTAGAACACGTCAAGCCCAGACCTAAATCTGTCAGCCAACAATTACGTGCCGCACTCTCTCCAGACTCCCATGAAGCTATATCACCGCATGTATTACGACCAGCATGAATATTCATTAACATGTGTCACATGCAATGACGCTGCCACACATTTCCTCCTGGCAAAGCAATTGAAAGTGACTACAGGAGCAGATTTATTGGAATAGGCTAGCCTGCACTTACTGCAGAGCTATTTCTCAATCGGGGTAAGTGTTACCACATTTCACATTCCGCAGCCCTACATACGGACCTGGGTGGCATTAAACTTACTACAGGACCAGGATTCATTACCATTAAATCTCTCCGAGAGGTTATAGGGTAAGAAAATGTGACATTGTCCATGAAATTGAAGCAACTGACTGCCTAATCCATCAAACTGATGGTTAATGCGCATGAGTCAATAGTGCAAAGCACTCCATGAGCATAAACAGCAGATATTCTTGCAACTTTTTAATTCATGGCCTGTCTATATTTCATTGCTTACTCCAGCGCCCCGGAGGTAACACTCTGCAGTTCTTATTCTGAACAGCTTGTACAAAAAAAAAAAAAAAAAAAAATCTGATGTATTGAGCAGGATCTGCGTGACTGATGGCGTGATCAGTGAAAATGATCACGCAAATGCAATTTTTAATTACACGACAAGCTTTTTCTTCTTCAGAATATCGATTTGTCCAACTTATCCTTAAAGTGTCTGGAGGCATGATTTGTTTGTGGTTTAAGTATGTGTGTGTTTATGTGTGTGTGTGTGTGTGTGTGTGGAACACCAGGTGTCTTTACAGAAACTCTTTGACTGTGTTTATTTCAAGCAAAGATTAATTCATGATCTCCGTTTGGGAAATTCAATGATGAGTCAGCGAAAATGAAGGCGAAATTTTTACCCATACAATGTTTTACATTTTGGTGTCATTTTTGTAAAGCAGCACAACCAAAAGTTAACTATGGAGAATATGCAGAGATCAAGGGCCAAGTAATGGAAAATCTGTAAACTACAAATATTAGATTATGGAAAGTTAGCAAAAAGAAAGCAACTGCTTTAAAAAAAGCAAGAAGTTGTTTTGTTTCCAGTTTCAAGCCATGCAAGAGGATGTGGCTACAGTTGTGTGCAAAACTGTATTTGTTGTGCAAAAGTTAGCACTGTGCAGCTCTAAAATATGTTTACTCAGAAGTGTCATGGAAGCTCAGAGTTAATGGGACTCTTGCCACATCTTTTCTTTCCACATATCAATCCTCCTCTACTTTGTGTTGGATCACATCAAGCACATTTGAGCTTATGTTTATAACATCACAATGTCAAAAAAAGTTAGGTTGCATGAATACAGTAGCATTTTTAAAATTGATTAATTAGTAGAAAAACACTTATTGATCAAAAATGGCCAGCAAAGTTAATTTGGAATGATTAAGTCTTTCCAAAAACTCAAAGGTGGCATTAGTTTCTAAGGCACGATCAAAGTTTTGCACATTTTTCAAAGCATGTTTCATGTGAAATTTGCACTTTTGTAAGTAGTGGCCATAGCAGCAAGTTCTTCCACAAATTTCCCCACATATGTGACCAAACACTGACGCCCCGATACTCTGAAACCGAGAATGACTTCAAGGTATTCATCAAGCAGTGAATGCTTCGTACGAATTGTGCCTTGTGCTCTCAAGGGTTAATGAAAGCAGAAATCAATTTGGTCAGAGTGACTGAATATTCATCACGATATGGATTTATTTGCAGGACTTACAGCTTTCAATTTCCAGAGTGCAGTTCTGTTCATCCAGAGGGTATCTCCTCAAGTCCATCATGCAGGCAGCAGTAGTTGTTATTCTAAGGACAGAGTGGGAAGAAGTGAAGACACGGGTTAATACACAGAGTGATTTTAACAGCTTTTGGTGCAGACAGAGACCCGCAGCTCACGAACCCACAACAACATCGCTGTATATGTGCCTCAAAAGTGACTCTAATAGTCGTTGAAAATATGAAGGATCTACTGCTGCTCAATAGGTCAATCGATGCCTATGGAAATGCGATCATGGAGCCTTGAGTGGATCTGAGTTGGTGGGAAACCTTTTCATTACGATTCACAACGATTACAATGTCAGCGGAGATCGTACCTTACGATCTTTTATGATAAAAATGCATTACCAAATTCTCCTTAGTATGATGAATATTTAGCATTCTACAAAACGTATGGAAATGTATCACTTTCTTACATACTGTAAATCCCACATTGCTTTATGTTTTTTTTTTTTTTTTCCCCCAGACGGCTGTTATTTATTCCCAGCGGCTTTCTGCAAGGTGGCTTTAGAAAAGATGTATGCATAGCAGTTTATTAGTGTCGGTCCTAATTTCCAGCAGCCCATGAAAAAAAAAAAAAAGCTTTTTGCTACAAATTACACATATAGGGGTCATTTTGCATTTAGCTGAGACATTTACCCATACAGCAAATTTTAGCAATTACATTTTTGCTGTTGATGCCAGCTGCTCTGTGTTCATCATACTGGATTTCATTAACTTCATGCCCTCCTTTGCAATTGCTTTAAGAATGAATTAGAAAAAAAAACAAAAAAAAAACACAAGTTATATTTTACTCGTGTCAAAAGCCCAAGTTTTGATGTGCACAACATGCATCTTTTTCCTGTGTGTGACTGACTAAAAAGGGTGCGACTCATTTGCTGGCCACAAACACAATGTCGAAAGGTTTTGCATTGCTGCAGTGGGCAAATGTACACAGGCCTGTACAATACCTAGAATTACTAATGCAGGAGATAATAAGCTGTTTGCCTTGGAAATATATTGCTCGAATACGGAGTCGGTAAATTGGTCACGGTGGCTTGCCCAGAGTTCTGTCGGCAGGTAATTGGAAAACAAAATATGTTCCCGCCGAAACTGATTCGGGCAGATATACACAGAGGCATGTACTCCTTCTGTGGACCGCGATGAGGAAAAAAAAGGCTCTATAAAGACAAAAAAACAATAATGCACGAACAAAAAAATTTTATAAATAAATAAATTGTGACAGGTATGAGCTGCATTCTGCTGCACAAGCACAAAGCTACACAAACTGCATTCTGTTCTACCCTACTGCACTGCTCTCTCCTGCTGCCTCTCAATGTTTCCCTGCTAAGAGCTACCAGATAGAGACCTAATTACACTAATAAGAAAGGTTTCTTGGCAATCATGATTTCAGACCAAAAGTCGGAATGAAACAGTTTATCATGATAGGTTATTTAGTGTTGGTAGGTGTGACACTCTGACAACATGAGGGGCCATATAGATTTGTAAATGAATCATACTTAATTACGGTTTAAAAAAAGAAAAAGAAGCTAAAATACAAAAAACATCTAAGATTAAGATAAATGTTCTTTGTTATAGTTCCAAATACATATTTTTAAAGATTTTTGTGGCACAGGTCGCCTTTATTTAACAGAAGTTGCAGGGAGTACGGGAAATTATACAGCGAATGGCCCAGAGAGGCAGGAGATTCAAGGATTTTTCAAACATGCCTGAAAGAATTATAGCCACTCCAGGTGTGTTTTTGATGCGGGAATAATATAACATCATATAAAGCTAAAACAAAAAATGGATTTTGCATAACAAAAAAAAATAAGCTAGAACAGATTGATGTTATTCTCTAAAGTTGGACTTTTTGGTAGGAATTGGATCCGTTTGTTCTGGAAAATGCTTTGAAATGACGCCGAAAAAAAATTTTACGAGCAACATTACTGGGGCAACCAATAAAAATATTTACGTTCAAAGGTTTGCCAACTTGAAGCCAACATAAAAATCTGCAGCATAAGCTTGTTGTGCCCCACGTTTATTTAACCGAAGATGGGAAAGAAGCCAAGTGTATTGTATTTTTAAAAATTCTCAAAAGAGTTGCAGATCCAGTCAAAAACTTTGCACTTTCAAGTGCTGACTGAGTCAAAGCACCGCTCTGTGCCTGCTACTGATCCAGCCACAGGTCCATCAATCAGGTCTGCCCGGAGTGATTTCAACAGTCCATAAAACCTGTCGTCAGATATTTCTTGGCCCAGTTTTCACATTTCATCTCATGTGTCTTGTTCAGTGGTTGCCGGGTTTTCGGGCCTCCCTACCTCGAACACGTCCGTGGGAACCGAACGCCTCGTCCACTCCGGCTACAGGTTTCAGTTCTGGGACGCGATGGCCCCGGAGGAGAACGGGTTCCTCATGGGGACGTGTCAGATTCTGCTCAGCTCTTGGGTTGGTCGTTTGCATATTTTGCTCTCAACGAGTTTTAGACAATTTGCAACAAAACGTCCGATGACTCTGTGACGGCGTCCAAATGTTGTGCTGTGTCCCCTAAATAACTTGTACAATTTTGGACTGTTTTAGAGTCGGTTACGTCTCATTTCTTGGACCCGTTTTGCCCCAGGAACAGAACCTGCCAAGTCATTATGAACACTTTGATACAGGGCGTCTTCTTCGGTCCACATTTCCCTCAAATACAATAATGTTACTTGGTATTGGTGAAAAAAATGCATAAAATGTTCTTATAATTCATAATTCTGTCTATTTTTACTTCTTTAAAAAAAGCACTGGTGCAGCTAATATTTCTGTTCAAAGGCTTCTTGGATATTAGACCACCAATCAGATTTTATTGACAGACAACAATAACCTGAGTAAATATACAAAATGCATTTTTATTATTTAATTTTTTTTTCACATTTCTCTGCCTCGCCTCGTCGAATGAGGCACCAGCTGTGATTCACCACAATTTCTGGTCGAATTCCACGAACCATCTTTAGGACAAAGAAATCCTTTAAGTAGAACTCAACAAGTAGACTAAAAGAAAGCAACACATCGTGTCCAGTTCAATGAAATTAAAGAGCAGAAGAAGCAGAAGAAAAATGAAGCTTTTTGGCTTCTATTAGTCCAGAAAAGATTACAGCTTAACACATACTCTGCGGTTTTCAAAATCTTACTGGACTTGAGCGTGTCACACTGTGCCAACTTGACATAAAACTTTAATGATAACCCCTGTTACATTTATTAATGTTTGTTGCTGCAGCTTAATCATCTCAAGCCTCTCTTTGCTGCCAACAGTGCCTCAGCCGATCTGTAGGTTTAGGGGAGAATAAATGTTTCACATAATAAAAAAGAATTTTCCCTAAACAAAAAAAACAAAACAAAAAAAAAAAACGAGACCACCACTGAAAAACTGTCTTTGGCTGGTTTTTCTTTAGTGATCCGATCATTTAATGATCAATCATTTATAATTCAACGGAAATCTTTAAGGGGACACGGTGCTTTTTATGCTGCTGTTCTTAAAGTCAACACCAGAAAGCCACTGTAAAAGTTACAAAAGTGCCATGTGGTAAAAAAAAATAAAATAAAAAAATTCCGGCTCTTAGTTTTAGTGTCTCCATTAGTGACTGCATTGACGTTTTCCAGTCGTACTGTTACCGGTACCGGTGCCAGATCAGGCCGTCCTCACACACTAAGTGACCGTGAAAGAAGGAGATTAGTGAGGGACGCCACCAGGACAAGCGTGATTAGGAGATGCAGCAGCTGACATGGGAGACTCTGCAAACAACAACTGTTGTCCAGGTTTCCAAGAAAACTGCGTCCACACAAGACGTTTATTGTCGGATAACGACAATAACCCGAAGCATCCGGCTAAAGCTACGCATAAATGGTTTGAAGACAGCAAGATGGTTGGTCTGTACTGGCGTAATAGTAAGGCATGCAAAGGGACAAATACTTTTTATAGACAATGCAAACAATTGAGGACCCTATCATGAATTTTATATATATATATATATATATATATATATATATATATATATATAAACTTACATACTTCAGCTTTAAATCAAACACCGTTTTTCTGTTGTTCAAAGTCAAAAATCCTACATATCCTGATAGAGTAAGGCAGGGGAAAGAGCCAGCCGCCTGAAGCAACAGACGGGGATGAATTCTGGATCCCTTGGCAAAAGCACACCAGAAATAAAACTGATTTTATATGTGGCAGCTAACAAGTCAGGAGAGAGTCATCACTTGAGCAGACACGGGTCGGGACGGCTCGCTGCGAGGGTTTGGGATTTGGGCTTGTCAGCAGATGTAGGTCAGCAAATTACAGTCCCATCAGAGATGATCAGCTGCCTCAGACCTGAGCAGGCACTGCAGTCTGGCGCTCAGCTCGCTTTTTTCTTAGCATATTTCAAGACGTTCGAGGTGCTTATGCGACTTTAAAGCCAGCCCCACAAAAAACAACATGCAAACAAATGTATTAACGCCAATTAAGGCCATATTTGTGGGAAATCAATAAGTTCCGATCCCATGCAGGCTAACCCCGTAGTCGTCTCTGTGTGCTTTGCTTCCCTACCAAAGAAGATCATTGTACTATCACAGCACTTGGCTTCATAAAAGGAAGAACAAGAGAGAACAGAGTCTGGAATGGAAAGAAAGAAAACACAATCTGGTGAGAGCTTAGCTCAACAAAGCCCCCAATGCTCAGAGGACCCAGTACACTATCAAACAGCCTCCGTAAGTCTGCTAATGATGATTCAGCCTCTCATTTCACAGGCAAGGTAGGACTACCAGCTCTATGCCGTTTTAACGTTTAGACTTCTTTAGCTCATGTTCAACGACATTCTCACGCTTGGATGGAGCCTCAGAACACGACAAAGATTTTTTAAAATGCTCTCGAAAACAAAAGCAAAGAGATTATTAGATGGCGCGTGGCGATTATATCCACAGTACATGTGCATCATTGTACTTCCATCAATCTTGGACGATGGTAGGAACACGTCAGAAATGTGTGTTCTTACACGTTTCTCGTGTGAAATGACAGCTTTTTTCAG